CACCACATTTTCTTAACGTCTTTGAGAACGATAATTTAAAATTATTATCTTGTAGCTATCAGCTAGTAGCCGCTATCAAGTAAGAGAGGCAAATTCTAATCGACCACATTATAAGTACACCAAAGTCATTAAAGTAACAATATGATTATGAATCTAATGTAGTGATCGCTTTTATGATCACAGCTTTTAAGTAATTTAGTGTAAATGTAAATTTAAGTAATCCTAAATTTCTGGATAAATCTAAAGACACCGAATAAAATTACACAATAAAACTATGTAAATTTAAAACATAGAACTTAAAACTATCTAAAGAACAGATAGATAAATTAAAAAGTTTAATTAATTGCGTAGTCGGTGACTTTCCAGGTTGTGGCACATTTGGTTATTCATACTATTGAATAATTTGTGAACTTTTTGTACTTAAGGTTACGACAATTACATTGAAACCTCTGAAGGTTGTGCTGGCTGCTTCTTGGGAAGTTCCTGAATTTGCTGGTACTGTATCGGCTGGGCTGGTTGTACAACTTGCGTTGTTTGAGGTGAATTGATTACTGTTTGCGGTGGCACAGCAGGGTATTGACCACCAGGCGCTTGTGATACGTATATCGGTTGGGTAGGTTGCATAACCATAACTTTATTATATATGTATAAGAATAGCGCAAGTTAAAATCTCAATTAGTTTTTGATACTAAAGCTAAAAATACCTTTCTAAAAATATTAGCAGCATGCTAGTAAGCTACTCCCAAAAAATGCTGTACAACATCAATAAATTGTAAGTCTTGATCAAAGTAGATATATTTATTATCATAGAATTATTGTATCTTATAAAGTATTTCGTTTTAATTACAATATTATTTCTAAAAATATATAGCGTACCTGGTTGATTAGGTTGCATTGCTACCATTCGCTGCTGACCACCTTGATATTGCACAATAGTTGCTGCCTGCTGATGACCATGATATTGCACAACTCCCGGATTCTAAATGTTGTTTAAGTAGGGCACATAGCGTTAAAAAAATACTTTACAAATTATAATTTTTGATTGTTAAATCAACTAAGCAATAAATATATAAAATATATTCCTGTATTGCCAGTTGTTATAAGTTGAAATTAAGGAAAATTGATTGATAGTGAAAGATAATATGTACAGTAAAATCTATTATATATTAATGGTACAGAATTAAAATCTAAATCCTTATCGCATGTATAATGCAAATTGAAATAATTTTCGCTAATATAGTCTTATCAATTTCACTACAGTCAAGAAATATAAGCAATTGACATGAAATGAATACCTTCAACAACTAAGATGTTAGTACGTACCGTTAAACCCGGCTGGCAGTAGATGTTTCGCGATAAAATAATTACAATCGTCACTATTAAAGCAAAGCCAACGATAGACATTACCAATGAAAGAATAGCGTGCCAAATAATACCGTAATACGAATAGATGATAGCTGGAATGCTGATACCAAATTGAAGAATCGAAAAGATGAGGCTGATGATAGAAAACGCATAATAGCAGTGCATCTGAAAATTAAAAACATGATTATTTGATTATTCAATCGTGAAAATAGATTTTCAACATCTTATTTTTCCTAGAAAACCTGGAGGAAAACCCTTTGAATATTTAAATAGCTACGGTAACTATATTACCATGATAACATAAAAAATACTTAAAATATCAAAAATAAGCTAATACTTAGAAATTTTTGAACGTAGCTGATGAGCTAGATATCTCTACAATACCTGATCTTGAAATCCAGCATCCATTAAGAACATTCGTATTAAAAGTACCGTTATGTAATTTAAAATTGATCTATGTTGATTTACTATACAAAACATTAACCTACCAAATGAGGATTTCTTTGATTAGTATGGACAATAGTTCCAAATATTCCAGCTAAGAGGTACTGTACATTAAAGTATATGCAAGAAAACATTGTTAATAATCATTTTATGTAATATATGTATGTCTTGGTGACAACAAAAACAATAGCGTACTAAAGAAAAAGAAGGAGAATAGTGATAAATCGAAAATGTTACAAAGCCTTGATTTACGTTGGTAAGCTAAATATTTATCCGTTAATAATTTGAAAGCAATTATAATTGCAAATACTGCTAGTACTGCAAAATAGAAAGAATTGTTTTATATTTCTGTTACAGTCTTAAATACTGTATTACAGTAGAAATAACTATGTTAGGATAATTCTGTTAGACTATCCTTATTTAGTTAACTTCTAATTTGGATATACTGTATTTTAATATAGCACTGACTTTTTATGACAGTGACACTTATACACATACTGAAATTATAATAGTTATAATAGGGAATGCAAATCATCTGCTTACAGTTCGAATCATTGTGATTGTAATTTACTTATGATAGACTGTAAATTATCATGGAAATGTTCCGTGATAGGACATATCGTAATCTGACTATTCTGTATTAGTTATTACATGTCTATGTTCGTAAATACTGTTGTCTGCATTAAGAGAGCAGTAGCTAAAATTAATATCTAATTCAGTAAATGATTCTAATGTTAATTGTATTAACTATGACTCATGAACTATTGAGGAATAGTATATAAATGCAGTATATCGTGAAATAAAGAAGAATTGTCCAACTTAGTGTTTAACGTANAAT